AGTGACAGATGCTGTCAGGAGGTTAGACATGTATTTGTAGCCATGGAAAGACTAGTGTGCGTGTTGGGCTTGTGTGTAAAGGTACGGCCCGGGGAGGAAGTCGCTGGGCTCTGCCTGACTGTGATGTAACCACATTTGGATTATTATGTTCCCTTCTGAGCACGTCCTTCTGGTGACGAGATCAGCTAGCTAGCCGAGAGCCCAGAGAACAGCATCAAAATGCATTCAGAGCCCAGAGGGGTTGGCTTATGACGGGAAGATATTAAGGGCTATGTATGTCTAAGCAGGTTAAGTGTGGGATGGAAGCCTAAAAAAACCTGAGTAGCATTAGCGTCAGAGTGATAATCGCTTACGGCAGCACAAGACAACACAAGGAGTGAGGTCAAATTAAAGGCAAAAGATCTATAAGGATGTGAGATCAATTTTTCCCCCAGCCTAGAGTAGAAACCCTCTTTAAGATGGCAGAAAATACAGTGCAAGGCATGTGCCTGAACTGGGACAGTGATGGAAGACTGGATTTCCTCCGTCGCTGAGGTTCACAAACATGTCCTGAACATGGAGGCTGCAGCAGTGGGACGTAAAAGGAGAGCACAGGCTGTGGGATCTTGCAGTGTGAGCTCTGCAAGATGGGGCGTGTGTTAACTTACAGAAGGTGTTTGAGCCTGATTTGCTGAGCAAGGGGAAGTTTGTGCCGTTCACAACCAAGCTAGGAATTATCTTCTGGTGTTACTTGGCAGGAAAAACCTCATCATTATGGAACCAGTGATGTTGCCCCCTTCTATTAAGTTGTTTGCTGTATCTCACCACAAACAGCCGCTGGCTCATCTCATTGCTTCCAAATTTAAACATGTTCGTGGCTTGCATTGTTTTTGCTGTGGCTTCTCTTGCCTGGTGCTTGGTCACTAAGCTGCTTGATTGTTTGCTTTTTGCAAGCCTTGCAGCTCTCCTGGGCTGTAAAGGCACGTGTGTCCCCTTTGGTTTGGTCGCTCCAAGCATGAATCACTTGGGAGGAATGTCCTGCATATATCCCAGTATTGGATGTCTCATGTGGGAACCTGAAGCTTGGTGGCAGCAGGGTGGCTCTGCTGGGCTTGCATTTGGTCAGACAGGCTTCAGCGCTACGTTTAAAAGAAAATAATAAAAATCTTTCGGGGTGTTTTAAGCATCTAGCATATGTGTTAACGCAGTGGGGAGTGGGGTGGAGCAGGTCCTGTGCATCTACCAAGCTGCCCGATTGCATTCACATTAGTGGGAATATGTGGAGAATAAGCAAGCCACAAACCCATGAAAGCAGTTCTTCCATGATTGCCTCTTTTCCTTAGCCATCTGCTGCCAACGTTAGAACTTCCCAAACCTTAAATGCTGGAGGCTGCAGTGAGAGAGGAACGGTGGGGGGAAAAACCCTGGTCAGACCCAGTTTGCTTTCCCTTTTCAGCATCTCTTCTCTGGCACTGAGAGACGGGCATGGGCAGATCTAGAATACGAAATGGGGGATGCAGACATGAGGTGCGGCATTGCATATAAAACAACACATTCTTCTCTGGTTTAAAAAGAAACGAGAAGCTTTACTAAATACGCTAGGGGCCCAGAGCTGCGTTCTTCAGTTTAAGATTGATGCAAGAACAAATACAACTTCATTGGAATCAGTTAAAAACAATTTGCAGGGCTGTGAAATAGGAGCTTCATCACCAGGAGCAGCGAACAGGTGGCAGAATGGCAGAACAAAGCATAGGTTGACTGGTGGCACATCAAGACCATTAAAAAGAAGGGGTCGTAAACACCTGTGAGATGAAAAGTTTAGAAGGAATTGGGTAGATTGTAATAAACCATGAAGTCAAGGGACCCCCTTAGCACTCCATGACTTTAAATGCTTCTGCCACTACCAGCCATTTGATTTTAAACTTTGGGTAGACCAGGAATCAAATGTGGGTGCCAGTGCACCGGTGTACCCCTGTCTGTCCCCTGCATCCACCCCTGGACACAGGAAACTGGGCAAGATGGACCTGTGGTCTGGCCCAGTAAATAGCAGTGCTTATATATCACAAATAAACCATGCATGTTCTTTTCCACTGTCCTCTACCCATCCCAGCAAGGAGTTAGTAGTGTGCCTGTCATGTTGTAGTTGAACAAAGCTGTAGGCCTGACTCCAGGGAAGATCTAATATGTAACTTCCTGGGACCACGTCCAGCCAGTGAGCTTGCCCATAGTTTAACTTATGCTAGGAAAGTTGAGTTTTCCATAGCTATAAGGTTCCCACTAGTGTTGAGCTTTTCCCACAATAAGCAGCAACCACTTCTTTACCATGGCTGAGTTGCTCTGCAGCAGAGTCCTTTGAAGCCAAGCAGGGTGGTCCCAGAGGCTTCTGTAGAGAGAAGAGCTTAACTGAAGGTTCATTTCAAGCCACTTGGCTGTTTGCAGTACTATATTGGCTTTATCATTCAAGATGAATACCAAAAGGAAATAACAGGGCTTAATAAGGAACACAAATGTTAATCTGAGGCTTTGTTTTCAAGGTGGGATTCTGTTAGGTCTGAGCAACTTGTGCCAAAGTCTGTGTTGTGCCAAGTGCTTCATCTACTAAATTACAGTAGGTGATTTATTGGGCTTTGGCACAAGGCAACACTTACCTTTTCTTAGGGTTTTAGAGCAGTACCTATCGCCGTGGAATCTGGTTTTCCACATAAGATCAGCCGCAGCAAAGAAATTCTTAGTGGGGTTTCACAGAGTCTCTGGCACATTCCCCTTTCCAAGCTTGAGACTCTACTTGGAGTAGGGTTGTTGAGTTCATTTGGCTTTTGTCTTTTGGAGGTGTGGAGCATAGTGATTTTGAAACAAAATGTGTTTGTACTGTGGTCACTTATGGTTTGTTGCCTGTTAAAAAAAAAAAAAAAAAAAAAAACCCAC